ATATGTATATATATGTATATATATATATATATATATATATACAAAAAACATAATTTAAACTAATACCATGCAATACCATTACAACTAATAAAAAACTTAAAAACCTAAAATTAACCTAAAGCCTAAAAACCTAAAATTACTAAAACAAAAATAAACCAAAACTGAATATATATATATATAGAGAGAGAGAGAGAGAGAGCCTTGGTTTATTTTTTAGTAATTTTAGTACTTCAATTTATTTCAGTTAAGTTTTTTAATCTAATATTTTTATTTAATTATATTTCAGCTTTATTTCAATTACCTAAAATTATTTTTAATAGTTTTAGCTTGCAATAACACTGAACAGAATTTAAATTCTTTGGTGAGTTTAGAGTATTGTATTGAACTTGCACACATTTTCTGTCATTGTTATTTCAGGCTCCTGTAGCGAATCAGCTCATGGGGAAATATGAATAATTAATCATAACTAGTTATAATTAATTATAAATATTTAGATCCGCTGTAGATATTTACTTGACCTCTCAGGGTCAACTGTCTGTCAATTCTAAGAACGTTAATTTCCTGGTTAAGGGAAATAACTTTCTTACTGTACAACTCTACACAGAGCCTGAATGGTGTGTCTGATTGGTCCAGACGCTACACTCCCCAAGAACATTGTGAAAATGTTCATAACCTTAAGGCTGAATGCTGGTGTTTGGCTTCTGAGATATTTAATTTGGTCATGAAGCTCCAGTGTGTGTGTCCATTAAGAGCAGGCCGTACATGTGTGTGTGTCCATTAGTGGCTTTCAGCCCGATTTTGGAAAAAAAGCGATTTTGTTGCTCACTTCATAATGGCAACCAACACGTCTGCTTTCAAGGCCCAAAGGAGCATTACATTAAGAAACACAACAACACACCCACGTAGTCTGAACTCTAATTTGAGGTGTTCACAGAGGGCTTCACTTCCATTTGTTCAGGCAGTCACTTCCGACATAATCCTTCGGAAATACATCTGGAGAACTCTGGCGACCACCAACATTGCCCTGTGCCCCAACATGCACACACACACACACCAGTCCACATGGCCTAAATCATCATCACCGTCAGTATAACACACACCCATGCCGGGTAATCACCATCTCACTGTCCATGTAGGACTCCTATAGACCATGTCTCCTTCAGCTCGGCTTTCCCACCGCATCCTGTTTTATCATCAGCCACCATTTCTCCTTTTATTTCACATTGCAGGACAATGAGACGACACGTTAGTGTAACGTTAACCGCTGGGAGGCCCGTGCGGAAACAGTGAGGCATTAGCATAGCGGCCAGCTGTGGCGTGTTATTAAACGTGTTTACGCCAAGGGGTCTTAGCGTTGTGGCTAGCCACTGCGTATAATTAAAAGTGTGCGTGCACGCCGAGCAAGAGGGGTGTTAGCGGCGCATCAAGGTTTTGTTTAATACTCGAGGTGTTAACATAGCTGGCTAGCCACTGTGCCTAATTCTGTGCCGGCTCATGTCCGTGTGTACCATTTCACAGCTCAAGGGGAGACACAATATTCCTCTCCTTTTATCTCTTTCATCTCACACTCTTTGACGCCCTCCATTTTCTCTCCTCTCCCTGTCTGCCTAATAGTGTTCCCTCCTCTGCAATCACGCATTTACCGTGGCTCAGAAATGCTGCAGAACACCTCTTGCGGCCCACAGAGATGGACAAACCTGTGTACGGATGGAGCGAAGGAAAAACGGGTCAGAGGGAGAGGAAGAAAGAGAGTAAAAAAATTGTTTATTTGGCCTTTCGGGCTGTTGAACTCTGCTAATTGTAGAACTCATTAAAAATCAGGTTGGAGGGAAATGCTATAGGCTTGATGCACAAGGCCTATCGTGCAGAACGCATAATCCCACCAACACACACATACACACACAAACACTCGCCTCTAATTCTGAGAGAGCTCGAGCTGAGTAGAGCAAAACATTTGCCAGCAAAACTTTCACCAACTCCAGTAGCATGCGTTCGGTTAATTAGCTTAGCACTGCCCTGTGTGTGTGTCCCCGTGTCATGGAAAGTACATTTTAAAAAAGCATTAAGGAGAAAGAAAAAAAGAAACATACTGTCTCTTTCTTTCGCTCTTTTTCTCTGGTTGTTGAGGCGTTTCTCTAGGGACATCATGTGGCATTTTCCTATTGGGCTACACAAGTAATCAAAATAAAATTGAAATACAATTTTCAAATTGCAAAGGTTATGATTTAATTACATAAATATGTGCAGTGTGTGTTTCAGAGTGAAGCTGTTTTCAGAGTGAAAACTGTTGTTTTATGTGCAAGCAACTGTTGTTTTATACACAAACAGCTTATATAATGTGCTTATAGACCTTAATCAGGTTGGACGGCAAATTTAATTGAACACAGATGAAGACAAGACTGTTAGGGACAGACAAACATGCACTGTATAAAGGTCCTACATCATGTAATTTTCACAATTCACAACTATTAAAACTGTTTTATGGATTTTTTTTTTTTCAACTGAAAGTTTTCAGCAGAAAATAAAAACTTATTGGTTTAACAGTTGAAAATGAAGAAATGAAATATTATAGAAATTGATTAACATTGTAATTTTACAGTCATGCTGTACAATAAAATTATTACTTTGTTTTTCTTAAATACTTTTTTATTTTACAGTGAAATATTACAATAGTAATATTTCTGATTAATATTTGTATGATAATATAATTATTTTTATAAATTATAATATAGTAATATTAATAATCATACAATTATTATTATTATTATTATTATTATTATTTTGTAGTCATATTGATATGTAATCACAAAATTATTAGACCGTTTGTACAGCCCTACAAACAAGCACAGCAAACCTGAAGTTCTTTTTATTGCATTTTAAATAGCACAATGTTTTTAAAATTTATTAGAAAAATTGTAATTAGAATTTCCCCCCTGAATCGTGCAGCCCTTTTTCCTCTTTGTTTTGTCTCTTATTTAAGTTCTAACTGCCACGTGTGTGTGCGGCTCTGCTCTGGTTACCATATAACTGAATGAGATCGATGTGTTTGGATTGAGTGTGTATTGTCAAGGGCTCTGTGGGATTCAGATCTGTGGATGCGGAAGAGGAACTCTGGAGGAGATTTTGCCGTCAAGGCCAAATCTGCCATGCAACACACACACAAAGCTCAGCTCTCTGCCAGACACTCTCAGCCATCTGCCTGATTTCTCTCAGCTCAAACACACACACCCCAATGTGACAGCAGCAAACTTTTTGTTAAGGAAATACTATTTTAACATCTAAATGGGTCTAAACTAATGCTTTTCTGACTCTTTACTAACATGCAAAGTTTCCTTTCCCGCTGGAATACCAAAAATAATGCTCAATGCTTCACTAACATCCTCTGTCTCTTTCCTCTTTTCTTTTTCTTTGGGCGTCCCTGTTTGTTTGTTTGCTCGCAGACATGATGGATGGGATGAGTGTGGAGGGTGAGGATGAGGAGAGCAGAAGTGATATTGAGGCAGCGGCGGCGTCTCACGCTGATGATGTCACTCATACTAACCCTGAGGAGGAACTGTCGTCTTCATGTCTAATGGAAGATGATTTTACTAACTCTGCCAGTGACCTGGCCTCTCTGGGTAACCCAGCACTGCATGACCTCAGCGTGTGTGTGTGCACCGAAACATTCGATGTCCAAGTTTGTGCATTAGTGTGCAGTGATTTATCTGTGTATAACTACTTCTGTCTGTTTTAGATTTTTAGTTATTCTTTGACCTTTTATCGTACCATGACAACCCTTAATTTAGTAGGGCTGCATGGATTAATCAAAATGAAACCAAAACCACAAATCAGTTTAGTGTGATTATCAAATACATGCGCTCCATGTTTCACAGTGAAACGCTGCACTGTGTTCTTCTATACATGAGCTGCTCTAGATCCAGTGTTTTTGAGCAGCTCAGTTCACAGTAAATGCCGCTCCATGCAAACTCATCTCTGCATTGGTTTGCTTATAACGTGTCGAGAAGATATGCACCAAACATCTTCCTAAACTTGTAGTAAGGAATGATTATAAACCAAAGTGTTTATGAAGTGCTCAGAAATATTGCTATTGTAATTTTACAGTTGTACTGTAATTTTACAGTGAAATAATGGAATTGCAATGAAATTACAGTACAAATATGTATTGTTTTGTTTAATATTTTAATAATTATAATAGTAAAAATTATTATTATTGTTGTTGTTGTTGTTGTCCTATTAATATATAATCACAAAAGTTTGGCCAAATTGTGCATCCCTATGAACAAGCACACTAGACGTGTTTTTTTTTTATCTGAAAAATCGCACTTAAATCTTTTCACTAAATTCGTGCAGCCCTATAATTTTGTATTTCTTTCTTGTCCCCAGTGGCATTACTTTCTATTTTAACCACCTTTTAGAATTAATTTATCTTTTAATTCAATATAACATTAAGAAAAAAAATAAGCTCATCTTTTTCTTAAGGGAGGTTTGTGCCTGTTAATAACATTTCATTTCTGTTTGGGAGAAATTCTTTTTTTTATGTTTGTGCCTTTGTGTTTAATCAAGAGTATTTGAACATATTGTCAAGACAAACACAGTTATACCTTCTGAAGAGATGTGACGTTAATAATTATTTTTTTTGTCTTGCTGAGAAAGTCATATGAGAGATATATATATATATATATATTATTCTTTCTCTTTTGTTTACTTGTGTGCAGTATCTATGTTGTTTGTTTCATTGGTTTGTGTTTTTGTCTGTTATTGTGAAAAGAAGGTCTATGTATTTTCACAGACAAAATCCTTTTCTCTAACATAATGAAATGAAGATGTGTCATAATGAAAAAGGAGGAGTTTTTTTTAGCACATTTCAGCTCTCAAAGAGTCATACTTTTCTCCTTGGCACAGTTGGACTTTCGTTAATGTTTCTAACAACAAAAATGGACTGCAGGGGAAAAAACCTAACTGATCTAAACACAAAAGATCTTATAGACATCCATCATGGTGCCCACTTTAATTAGTTGAGGATGTGGTTCTTGTGTTTGGGCAAACTGTTGGTCAATACACACACCTGCACCTTTCTCCAGGTTGTGCTGAGGCCTGATAAATGAATCCTGTGGTGTTTTTTAGGGAGAAAGAGGGATGCTGGGATCCGAGAACAAGACCAACATGAAAAGCTTCCTCACCTCACTTTCATCTCTAGCCCAGATGAGAGAAAGAGAGTGAGAGAGAGGGCAAGGCTAAACCTGCTAGTGAAAGGTTATTAGAGAAAGACTTGGTATTTATAAAGTCGGACATAAAAAAGACACCAACACATTTGAAAGACAAGTTTGCATGTGGAGGGAGAAAATTAGAAGTCATTGTTCATTTAAAGAGAAAGAGATGTTATGAGTTGTGCTTCTTTCAAGGAATCACATGAACAAGCACTGTTCCCTCTAAGCATGTGTGGCTGCTCGCTTGTTCCCTCACTGATGGATAAAATAACTCAAAGTCAGACATAAAAAATAGATGGGGAAGAGCTAGAGATTCTTGAATTAGAGCTAAATGAGTGGATAGAGTTTCAACTTGAGTCTATCTGAGTGTCCATTGAATTAGAGCTAAATGAATAGATAGAGTTAAAACTTGAGTCTATCTGAGTATCCATTGATTTATAAATTTTTTCAGTATGCAGTGGAAGCTGTGAGAAATCTTGTGTGGAAATACACAGCACTGATTAATTCCCGAGAGGATTAATTCACAAACAGTACAGTACAAATTTCATTGTGTTACATACAAAGGCCATGCATTATTTTATTTTATTTTTTGTCTTGTTTTATGATCTCAACAAAGCAAGTTCTAGAGTTTTTCCTCTTTTCTTTTTCTTTTCAAGAGAACAACTGACAAATAATAATAATAATCAATATATTTAGTAATCGGTGAAAAAAATTATGGAATATACATAAAATAATAAAAATATTTATTATGAATAAATGTGTATTGATTGATAACGATATACACTACCTTTCAAAAGTTTGGGGTCAGTAAGATTTTTTTAAAGAGTATTTTTTCTACAGCAAGGACACATTGATTCTTGATTAAAGACATTTATAACTTTACAATCTGTAACATTTACTTTATTTTTATCAAATAAATACAGGCTTGGTAAGCATAGGGGACTTTTGAACAGTAGTGTATATTATGTATTATATAATTCTATAGAGTGCAGCCAATAGAAAAACTAAAAATCAAGGGAACATTGGGAACAACAAACTCATTAGATGTCTTTTAATTCACATGAGGTGTATGTGAGTGTCAAGGGAGACATTCCAGGTGTGTTGTGCTCTCAGCATCTTGCTATCTCTCCAGTGTGTGTATATGTGAGTGTGTATGAGGTTGAGAGAGCCGGTTTGCTTAAGGGCAAACATTGTCATGTCCTCTGCTTATCTGTGTGTTAGAGACGAGTGGCCTGCTGCATATAATGCTTTCTCTCTTCCTCTCTCTCTCTCTCTCTCTCTCTCTCTTTAGGTGTGATGAACAGCAGGCATGTGGACCTGAAGCTCAAGAAGCTCACAGAGATCCGGCCACAGGGTGGCAGCTCCCCTTCCTCTTCATCATCTTCCTCATCGCTGACGGCCTCCAGTACTTCACCCCTCAGCCCTGAATCGGGCGGCCTGCAGGTAGCCACATTTACAACCACCAGCTCTAACCAGTTTGCTAAGCAAGCATCACAGTTATTGCTGCTCATACTTCGAGATTCATTGTGAACAATAAGTATTATCAACCATAAGAATTAAACTTTGTTGAGTAACACATTCCGCACTGTTTCGGCTATAGACATGAGTGTTACTTCAAATTGTGTAGCTTGAAAGACCTACATTTTAAGATAGAATAAGCAAAAACGTCTCCGGTTACTTATGTAACCATAGTTCCCTGAGTAGGGAACGAGACACTGCGTCCTCTAGGGGTCGCTATGGGGAAGCTCTACATTGAAGTAGGGACCCAAGCCATATTTAGAGACCAGCATATCATAGACATGTGGCTTGTAAACAACCACCCAGAACACTTTAGTAAAGCCTTAGCAACCACATAAAAGACTCTCAAAAAATATTAGCATTGTGGTGTCTAATTTGCACAGTAAGCACAAAAATATACCCATCTAAAGATTCCCAAAGGAGATTGGGAAGTTTTTAATTGTATTTTTTTTTTTGTTGTTGTTGTTGTCATGTTATGGCTGTTAAAAAATATGAAAAGATTTGCTTGGATCTATCATTCACTTGAGGTGAGGTAATAGGCCAAGACAGGTTGATTTTTTTTTTCTTTTATTCACTGTCTCTTGTTATTGTTCTTCTGAGGAACATCATGTGTTTATATATTTTAAGCCGGAACACATGAACAAGTCAGAACGACATTATAGTCATTACCTCATGTCACACCTGACCTTTTCTGACAGAGAGCTTTGGAAGTATCGACAGCACCGTGTGGCTCACGGCGCAGACATGCATTAGATCGATTTGCTGTGTTTATTAAATACCAGCGTTGTGTGTGTAAGAACATGCATACCTGTGTACCGCTGACTGCTTGGTGTTAATACGCGTGTGTGTGTGTGATGACCTACTATCTGGCTGTTGTATTCAGAGCCCCCAGGTGGTGACTGCAAGGCATGTTCAGAGATGGTGGCGACTACCTTCCCCCACCTGTTCACCCCTTTCTCTCTCTCTCTCTTTCTCTCTGCTGACAGAGGGGATTTCCTGTGAGCAGATGTTAGCAGGTTCTTTGATGAACAATAACTGCAGTGATGTGTTCGTTTGGGTCGACAGGCCTCATTCAGTACTGCAGCAGGTGTGAAATGATTGGCTGAGATTTCCCAAGGACTAGCCACAAATAGGTTAGATTCCAGAGACCGATTAACAGACCTGCTAAAGGTGATGCAAAATAATAAGAATAATATCTACCCAATTATATTATTGGTAATAATTAAGTAATAATAGCATAATTTATACACATAATTTAATTATTTTTTAATTACAATTTTTTTAGGGGGAAAACTGTTTTTATTGAAAACTGCCGTGAGAAAACATAAATTTTCTGCATTTTCTTTCAGCTACACCACTGTTCAAAAGTTGGGGTCAATAAATTTTATTAAAGTCTTTGAAAAGTCTCTTACACTCACACAGGCTGCATTTATTTGATAAAAATACAGTAAAACAGTAATATTGTGACATATTACAATTTAAAATAGCTTTTTTCTTTTAATGTATTTTCAAGTGTAATTTATTACTGTGTTGGCAAAGCTTAATTTTCAGCAGCCGTTACTAGTGTCTTCAGTGTCACATGATCTTTCAGAAATCATTCTAATTTGCTGATTTGGTCAAGAAACATGTCTTATTGTCTATGTTGTAAGCAGTTGTGCTGCTTAATATTTTTGTTTAAACCCTAATAGTTTTTTCCCCCTCAGGGATTTTTGATGATTAGAAAGTTCAAAAGAACAGCATTTATTTGAAATACAAATATTTTGTAATATTATAAGTGTCTTTACTGTCACTTTTGATCAATTTAATTTGCAGAAAAATTATTTATTTGTTTTTTTTAATCTTGCTGACCCCAAACTTTTGAATGGTAATGTATGACACTAATTTAAAAAAGAAAGAAAAAAAGAACACTATTGTCAAGAGCTGGCAATTGTTTTTGAGTAACAATACATCTGCCATCGTAGTTACTATAAGTGAGTTGATTATTTAACCGTAATTTATAGGACGTCTTCATTATGAAATGGCTTTTAGTAATGAGGGACTTGTTCTCTCTCTGTATAAACAGTCCAGCACCTGCTGCAGACCTGCACAACAGGCCAAAGCTCAGGGGAGGATCAGCAGGGTTACGAGCACTGCAGCTCTGAGCCCCAGGGGTTAGTGGGGTTTTAAAGAGCGAGCAGTTCTCGCTCTCTCTTTTCTTTTCTCACCTTCACCCTCTTCTCTATTGCAACTTGTATGAATAAACAAGTTTGAGTATCAAAGTTGTTCCTCCTCTGCTTCTTGCCTGTCTAAGACAAACACATTAGGATCACCTGATGTTGCGGTACAATCTCTTTTACTCTTACAAAATCTGAATCAACCGCTCCATCCCTGGAAGATTCTTTCATCCCACAACTCCGTAGTAGAACGGTGCGGGACAGTGTGGTTCCCCTCCCGCCCCAGCACACACATTGCAGTCCCCCAGTGCTCCCGGTTATAGCTCATTAGCAATTGTCTCTATGCACTGTGAGCCTGCTGCCATGGTGGCACACGATAACCGCCTGCAATGAGCAGCAGACCGCAACATTAGTCACGCATCCCAGAAACACACACACACCTCTGCCAAAATAATACCCACCAGCACAATAATGATCGGGACGATAACAGATTAAAAATGCGCCGATCGCGATGTGGGGATAGCCCTGATATCTGCCCCAGCCAGGGGTACCGAGGGGCCGTGGGGGCAGGTGTTTCAAGGAAGGGGTTGTTAGCGAAGGTTGGAGGCCTCGGGTCCTCTGGGAAACGAGGATTCTAGCGGGGCTTTGGGTTTGAATCCTGTTTGTTTTCTTTGGACTTCAACATGAGAGGAATCAAATGGGGTTAAAGGGCTTTGTTTAGCTGTCTCTAGAGATCCAGGCTGTTGAATGTGTCGTTTTAACACAACACACTTCTGGTTTTTTTTTGTCAACTTCGGTGCGTGCTCTACTTAAAGGGGTGGATTTAAGGTGAAATTACATTTTTTCACCCTCAGATTGCCGACATAACTTGTTTTATAAGCGAGTTAATTATGTATTGCTCATTTATTGTTTTGTCCCCCCCCTCCATCCTGTCTATTAATTATTTATTTATTTATTACAAAAATGCATACGTACACTGACTTGAATAGACCTTTTCTATGATAAGCATGGTTTTTTTTTTTTCATTTCTGACTTCAAATTGATTTTGGTTTTATGTGTGGGAAGGGGGTTATGTGTTGTAAAAATGTCATGTAGTATGACTTTTAGTCAAACTAACAATAAGCAATTTATTTTTACAGCATTTATTAACCTTTGTTAATGTTTTTTTTATGTTTGTTCATGTTAGTTCACAGTGCTTTAACTGTCAACATTTATAACTTTTAATCTTAAAAATGTATTATTGGTAAGCAAAATGTTGAGATTAACTAATATTAATAAATGCTGTATAAGTATTGTTCATGGTAACTGATGTAGTTAACTAATGTTAACAAAAAAGAAGCCTTACCTTTTTTCCTTATCATGTACACTTTTATGTCATTGACCCAAATAGGAATCTTTGAAAGTTAAGATACAGTCTGTCAGGATGGCTGAAGAGAAGCTACAAATTAGGGCTTTTTACAGTTGATACTGTTCCTCTAAACATGTTAGATCAGTTGGATAAACAGCTATAACTTAATATTCACACATGCAGACGCTGAATGTCTCTGAGATCAGGCTAAATTTGTAGTTCTCTAGGGACACGCTAATTGCAGCTTTGTTTTCAAAAGTTATAATTTAAGAATAAACAGGCCAGAGGCGGTATGTGTGCCTGTTTGTACGCGCTTGTCTTTATTAGCTGTGCAGTTTCCGTACACACACCAGTGAGTTAGCGTCTGCACTAACAATGTTTCTTCCTCTCAGTCTCAAGCAGTGGAACGTGTTCGCTAATTGCGAACTTTATTAGACGTTTCCTATTATTATTGACGTTGCAAATGTTATTCTGAACGCTGCCGTTTCGCTTTCCAGTCTGCTTGGCTTATTGGGCCCAGCACATAATAACACATTTCAATATTGAGGTGATTGGAAGCCGCAGTGAGAAGCTGCTAACACGTGTTCGCTTCCAAGACAATAGTGCTTTTAATTTGCATAATCTGAATACATTTTCTGGCTCAGGTTTTGTTGAAAGTAGACTTAATTGCCTTATTCCCTTTGTGCTTGTGAGTTAATGTGGGACTCGGAAATGTACCAAATGCTGCAGAACCTTTCCTCGGCCATTCTTCAGGCGCGGCGCTCCATCGTTAAACATTTCTTGGCCATGTGTGTCTAATTTGTTCTTTACTTTAATGTCGACCGGCATCAGAAGCAACTTTTATTCAAATGACTCTGCTCTACTATTAAGTTAACTGCTCTTTTACTCTTCTCCCCCCATCCCTACCTCTTTATTATGTTTTTATAGAATAATGTCAATGAATTGCACGCAGAGCATCTCCGCAGGGCTACAGAACGTCTGCGTAGTCCCGTTGTCTTCCACAAGGAGTCTGCTGTCAGGAAAACACAGCTCAAATCATTCAGCCAATACATAGAGACCAGGCCAGGTGAGGTCCTTTACTTTTGTTGATGTCACTTCCTCCATTTGATTGCATTTATGAAGGATTTTACATTGTGGAACAGTTCAGTAATCATTAAACGAATGTAATTAATGCATAAAGATGGCCAAGCCTGTTGCACTCAGGTTTGTTTTTCAGGCCTGCTAATTAGGCTTAATGTGAAGATAAGTGTCTCAAGAATGCTAACGGTTTGATAACAGCTATATAAGGTAGTTCTATACACTTTGTGATTTGTTTAATGGAGATGTCAGATCTGTCTGATTGGTTCAAAATTTCATGTGATAAAGAAAAAGTATCTTCATATTCATCTATAGTCATTTTGTGATTGCGCCCAGGTGAGAATGAACTCTGTCAACTTTTAATATCGCTCTCTCTCGTTTCAGAGGTTAAAAGGCAGAGATCAGTGCCTGAAGATCTAAAGCGGGCAGCTGAGGAGAGAGGAGCTCTGACAGAGACAGAAGGACGAAAGCCAACTGAAGATGAAGTACTTAATGCATATTTAAATTCTCTGTCAGAGCTGTTCGTACTGATGTTGTCTGTGACACCAGGTCATAGTTGGACGTCAAACCTGCACACAGTCATTCACATCTGTCTGAGGGCCAGAGAGGTTTTTTATCAATCTGTTCTTCCCTAAAGCTGAAGAGACCAGCCAAATTAGACTGCTGTTCCCTGATAATTGCAAGATTAGGAAAAAAGGAAATGGACAGAACTGTGGATATACCTCTTTCACTATATACTGTATATATATATACAGGGCCTAAAACAAACTTTTTGCCAGACCTGGCATTGGCCGGTGACTTAAGGAAATTTACCGGCCAGAAATATTTTTTACCAGCCACGGAAAAAAAAGACAGGCAGTTATGACACCAAAATTTTAGATAATAGCAAAAAATCACAATCCTTGATTCCAGTTTCGATACCTGCTAAAACTACTAGCTTAACCAACATAAATTTAATAGGCTACATTTTTAAAGACTAGTAAATAGTCAGTTGTAAAATAAGAGCAAATCAAATTACAAGCAATAGCACAAAATAGCCTACTATACAACAAAGATACAAATAGAAACGGTGCATTTCAGGCAGGTCTAACAGTGATTTTCAGGTAGCCTGCAGAAATTTAATAAATTATGCTAATCAAATGACATAGGCTATATATATTTTTTAAAGTTCAAGAGCAGTGAGTGATTGTTTTTTTCTTTATCCTATTTTCTTTGATCAACATTAAAAACGCAGACAACAGCAGGATCCCGTCAACTGTACAGAGCGTCGTTCACGTTTATTTTCTCACAACATTGCACTGTTAGAATTTATAAAATGTTACCAGCCATCTGGCGACTGACACAGTTTCATATACTCGCCAAAGCCGATTAAATGATTTTAGCAAATGGCTGCAATATAACAAAGAGTGAAAAATTTAAGGGGGTCTGAATACTTTCCGTACCCACTGTATATATATATAATAATTGAAATATCAAATAGTTTAGAATTATATAATTATCTTTTCTTATCCCATCTTCATTCATTCTCTCCATGTAGGCTGATCTAATGAAATTGTAATTATTGCGGCACCATATATAGGGCCAGAGCATAGGGATACATACCTTGGGAAAAGTGAGATATATAGAGACACAGAAAGAGAGAGGGAAGGTCAGTAGAGACCAGCTTTGCCCCTCTCTGTGTAGGGGTTAATGGGTGTTGAACTTTCCCATTACCCAGCTCAAGCTGAATTACCCAGCGAATGATGTTTGCATTAATATAATATATATGGAAATTTCAACACTTAATTATGGCAGAGAGGCGAGAGCAGAGGGGAGGGGGCTGATCATGTGTAAAATTGATTTGTGGGAGAAGTATTTGATAGAGCAGCGAGAAAGAGGAAGGTGGAGTTTGATGGACAGCAGAAGGACTCAGGCAGAAAAAGTGCTGTTTGGATGGAAAGAAACTTCTCCATTTTCCTCATTCCTATTATGAAATAAGGTGCATCAGCACTAAAAATATATATATTTTTGCAGCAATGTGAATTTAAATTAGCACTCTTTTCCCCCTACCCCTCTATCTCAAAATAGTAGGAAGGAGGAGAGGACTGAGGAGGGCGATAAACGAGTGGAATAAAGTGGGGGTGGGAGTGCTTGTCACTATCACACACTTAGAAATAAGCGTGCAGTTTAATTACTCTATTTCTCCCTAATCACTGTCTCATCCCTCACTCCAGTGTTTCCCATGAGCCAGAGGGTACTGCTGCCACCAGGGCCACGTGTGAGAGGGAAATGGAGCTCGTTTCCAAATGTGTGCATGAGTGAATCTGAGCACATGCATGTGCTGCGTAGATCTCTTAGATCCCTGCTGATAGGCCCTTAGGCACTGACCCACCTCTCCCATATATTTCAATTTTGTCTCTATGTGTCAGTCTCCAGACTGCTGTAATACTGGATTCTCTCTGAGGTCATTTAGCGTGTTATATTGGTGTGTAAACGCACCCTGCTGCCCGAGGCTTTATGTGTGAAGTCAAACCTTAGCATTTAAAGCTACAGTCTGTAACTGTGGAAAAGAAATTTGAATGCCAGGAATTATAAAAGACAATAAATATGTAAAAGAAAAAAATTAATAAATCTTAAAATATAAAAAAATATACACTAGTTCTCAGTTGTATTTTTATTTGAAATTTTATTTACATGTATAATATGTTTAATGTGATGAATTCACGCATGTAGCCAAACCTCAGCATTTAAAGCTGAAGTCCATAACTGTGGAAACAGATATTATTATGCCAGGAATTAAGCAATTATTAAATTAAATAAATAGATCATCAAACATAGTAGCATATATTAGCTCTGAGCTGTATTTTATTATTCTATTTGTATGTTTTAGCTACATGTATAATATTTTTAACATAATAAATTCATGCATGTAATCATACCTCATACCTGTAGCATTTAAAGCTACAGTCCGTAACTGCTGAAACAGATATTATTATGCCAGGAAGTAAGGCAATGAATAAATTAAAATAAAGAAATCTTCAAATATAATCAGAAAAATGTATACAGTAGCTCTGAGTTGTATTTTATTGTTTTATTTTATTTGTATGTTTTATATACATATATAATATTGTTAGGGTGATACATTTTACACATGTACTCAAATCTCAGCATTCAAATTTACAGTCCGTAACTGCAAAACAGATATTATTACGCCAGAAAATAAGGCAGAATAAATGAAAATCAATAAATCTTTAAACATAGTCATAAAAAATTTATACAGTATACAGTATTTTTTATTTAATTATTTTTTTATATTATTATTTTTACCAGAATACATTTATTGTATATTTATATAACACATTTATTTATTATATTTTATTAATTATTAGCTTTTTTTTTCCAAATAATAAATCTTTTTTGATGTATTATTTAAAAAAAAATTTTTTATCACCTCATCTTAGTAATTAGTCTAATTTAGGATTTTTTTTAATATAATTTTTTTTAAATTTTTAATATAATTAATTTTTAATATTTCATTTTTTATCATTTTAAAATTTACAGCAATACATAATTTCCAAAGAAACCAGAAAAAAGAGCTTTCATTTGCTTAATTAATTAAAGCAATATTCACCAGTCATCATTATGACCACTGTTCCCCTGGTATTTAAAAGCTATATAAACCCTGGATGTGATGCTTCATTTCAAACCTCTCATCACTCCCCCTTCCTCTCGTTTGTTCTTGCCCAGCAGAAAGCGTTCAAAGACACCAGTCAGTACGTGGTGGGAGAACTGGCGGCGCTGGAGAGTGAGCAGAGGCAGATCGACACGCGGGCCTCGCGTGTGGAGAAACGTCTGCGCTATCTCATGGACACAGGTACGCCGCCCAATTACACTGTAAACAGTTTTGGCAAATTGAGCGTTCACAAACTCTTATGGAGTTTGGGAAGTGTGAATCTTTGAAGCCGGGATGTTGGGGCGGCAGCGGGGATATGAAAAGGGGCGGTGAGGATGCAGGGAGGCTCTCTGGGCCGCCGTGATAAGAGAGCCTTCATGGGAGCTGATAACTAGTGCTGATAGCGTCCGCCAGCCAGCCACTATTGAACAGTACCGTGCAGCCATGCGCAACAGAACCCCATATCTGGCCTTCAATGATATGCTGTAGAAGAGAGAGAGAGAGAGAAGGAGGGAGAGAGGGGGATACGGCAGAGGGGTAAAGGGTGAAGAGGGAAGGAAGAGAAAGGGGAGGGCTGCTGTTTGGGGGCTGGACCGAAAAGGAAATGTTGAAATAATGAAAGACACACATTAATAGATACATGCACTTGCTCTCCTCCTCCCTCTCTCTCTCTCTCTCTCTCTCTCCCTCTATCGCTCTCTCTTCTCCTCGCATATACACATATGAAAGGATGTGGGGCGATCTTTCAGGTGTGTATAACAGGCAAAAAAGGGCTGCTGAGCCTTTGTTAAAACATGGAGCTCCGTTCTGAGACTCCAGTGCCTCAATAACTAAAATTTAAGAAAAGCTTCCTTCCATCCAGATGCTGATACAAAACGATAATTTCTCACAAGGGCAGCGTCGGGAAGCGGGAGTTGAAAAAAAGGTGGAGAAAGTAGACGGTTACATTTTTATGCTTCTCCATCACATTGAGGACGATATCGTGACTATCACAGTTTTGTGTTTGCCCAACCTTCCATCCATCCCTCTCTCACTGTCTCTCTTCACACTCACCTGGGCCCTGTTGAAGTCAAAGCCGCTGTGTCCGTTTGAAGGTTTTTTTTTTCTCACTCTGAATGATAAATGGCTTGAATGCCCTAGCAGGTGGAGAACCAAACCAGACATTTCGGCAAGATTTACACACTCACACACAGAAATAAGAGGCGCAGTTACACACCGGACCCCGTGTACGAGTCTCACCTTAATGTGCTTACCTGTCTGAGCTAGTGCACGCATTTCAGCACTGCCTCTGAATTCACGCCTCTGTCAACATAGTCTGCCAACAAAAGCCTCTATAACTAAATATACACAAAACAAACAATGTCATATATGCTCAGAATACACATATTGAATATAATCATGCTAAGCTATGTTCCACTAAATTAGTGCAAGTATTATAAATAAGTAAGGGATTTATTTAAAGTTTTTTTTTTTACTGCATTTTTCTCCTTTTTGATAATCTTTTTTCAGCATATAATTCTTTTTTTTATGTCACTGGAAATTATTCAGATAAATATGTATGACATATGAATATATATGATATTTAAAGTTAGGGTTGTGGTCAATATAATAATAATAATATATAACATATATGTCATGTTTTATATAATGTTATTATAATTTTATATATATATATATATATATATATATATAGAGAGAGAGAGAGAGAATATGTATTTAAAACATATATTCACTACATGCATACAATGATGACTGCAAATAAATAAGCAAAAGTTAAATAAACGTGTATGCATATCTGTATGTATGCACACATATAAAGTTAGATTTCTATACATATAAAAACTGTATTAAGAACTACTTGTGATCCCTGATACCCCTCCCCCTCTCATTATACGCTCTGCCTTAGTCTGCTGGTTTTTTGTGTTTGTTTCCCAGATGAATTCACAGTAATTGGGCTGGTTAATTTATTTACTGTGTGCAGTTCACAGCACATTAAAGAATGAAGATAATTGAACACGAATTGTCAAGTGTCTTCTGATATCAGGCGTATTACAGAAGGGAATGCGTATAAAACTCTATTTCCATGCAACCATTGTTTATGGTAATTAAGTACACAGATGTATTCCTTGGTTGCCTTCCAAGCTTATGGCGACTGCCATTGTTGTCTTCTATTAATATGTAATCAGTAAATAGTTTAATTTTCTAATCTGCAGTTGGAGAATTCACTTTCTAGCAGCTCTTAATTATGGCAGAGCCCTAATGATGCAGCCGCTGATGGGCTAGGAGGCCGTAAACGGAACGCAGAGGTCTGCGGTGGCTCCTGCCTAATGAACTTGTTATTCCCACACCAGAGGGAGCAGTGTCCTTCACACACACACACACACACACACACACACACACACACACTCGCCAGCAGCTCAACCATTACCTCAGTTAGCCACATCCCCAGAATTACATCAAAATATGTTATTGTCACCCGATTTTCTAAACGTATCAATTTTGAACATTTCATGAAATCAAAAGCGAGAGAAGAGAGCTATTCGCACGCTCGCCATTCTGTCCAAGCACAATACCATCCCGAATCACATTGACATTTTTTCTGCATGCAGCATTGAAATGTGTGGTAATGTTATCTGCACGGCTTTTGATATTCAGCAACCCTCTGAATGCATCTCCCTGACATCTGCTCAGCATGCATTTATGCACACATATGATTTTCAAATTGCTTTATAATCTGCAACAATGGACGCAATTATGAAAATAATGACATTTTAAAGGCGCTCTAAAACCCACACACCTACAGAGTTCTCGATAAGAGATTTTTTTTTTTAAATCACAGAGGAAAAAAGAATGAGTTTTAGGTGAGATTAACATGTGTTTAAAAATTGCACTTGAGTTTGATAAGATTGACACAGGTTTTATTGCATGCTAATCCGTTCTCTTTTTCTCCACCGCGGTCACAGAAATTCATACAAGACGGATATCATCAGCTTAATGCAGTTTACAGACGAGCCATCACAGTCTGTGCCGGAAAAACAGACGTACGTCAGTGTCAGAAGAGGCCCGTTATGTTTGTTTTATTCTCGGGGACGTGGTCGTCCTCTTCCGGGCTTCTTAACGGATGTGCATCTTTTAATATTTTAGTCTCAAAACGTCAGTTTTTTTTTTTCACCTTTCCCCCCTCAGTTTTCCCACAGTAATTCTCGGTGCCCACATTCCAAGGCAGTGTTGGCCATGCAGAAATAATTGCTTGAGTGTCTGCGTTTATTGATCTCAGCTCCGCCAAGACTGAAATGGAATTGCTTGTGTGGCTAAGGCAACATGCTTGTAACCAGCCCCTTAGTTTGACTAAAGATTTAAGCTTGGCAACGTGAGTCGCATAGGGAAATGGTCTCCGAACTCAGACAACAGCTAACAGCTAACACAGCTTTAAGTATATTATCAGGCAAGTTCTTTCAGAAACGTATTGCTAAAGAAGCTTAACATTAATTATTGTAACTTTGGGAAGATTACATCCACAGCATGCTTGTAAGCGGTGGCATAGTCCTCTTGACCTCCTATGCAAGAGCTTAAAGACACTAGAATGGCATTTCAGCTGCATTAATAGGATAACCAGTATAATCTTTCCACAGTAAGAGAAGGAAAAGTGTTTAGAGCATAATACTCGCCCCGATTCTGTGGACGAGACGGGTTTTGTGATGTCTCTCGCAATCGGCACGCACCAGGTTCTATCAGCGTAATCGCAAACTCTTTTTCTCTCCCTCTCTGCTGTTCTCTTTCTTCTGTTGTCTCTTTTTCAATTCTCTTTTTTTCCCTCTTCTCCCTCTGTCCTATTCTTTCTCCTCCATGGGATTTGCATGCTAGTTTGGTAGCTTGTCCACTCTAATTTTAAAGACCAAAGGCCTCGTTTAGCCTTCCTGCTAAGCGTGCACCGTGAGTAGCGGAAAAGTAAGCCTGGAGACAAACGCAGGAATTCGGCTCATAAGGATGGCTTTTATCGGCACGACCAAAGGCCAACGCTGGATCAGGAGGTGACCGCCTATTCAGGTTTAGTGCTGGACTATGTGCTCGACTTCAAGAGCTGGTTAACATCAGAATGGTCCATTTTCAGCTGCTGGCTTTTGCGGCCTTTGTTCTTCCCGCTGGTTTTAATTCTCAACGGACCGTTACGCACGCACAGTAGATCGCCTTTGTGAAGTCATGTATTCTCGCTACCTAATATAAACAGGTTAGACCTTTAGCCTCAATTAATGCATGTTGTAAGACATTAGCACTACTCTTGTATGAGTGTCATTTCTCCTTGAGGAAGAAAAAAAGCATTTGTCCAGTTTATTGCAATGGTCGCTGCAAGCGAGAAGGAAAATGCCTCACATCAGACCTTTTTAATCTCTGAGGCCGTTTGAGTGTTTGAGAGGCAAAAACAATTTAATTAGTTAAGTTGCATTGACTTTGCATCCAAACCCCCAACCAGCAAGCCCTCCGTCCGAAAGCTTTTCCCAGATGTGAAGAGGGTTTTTTTTGGTCTGGTGTCAGGCTTTCAAACATTCTTTAACAGTTGGATGAAAGGGGATTTTAAGGAAGATTAGAGAAGGGGATCCTCCAGGCATTGTCTGAGAATCTTAAGATAAAACGCACGGGGTGGATAGTGTCTGCGGAGGGGGGTGTCGGGGGGAAGGGTTTGTTGGTTGCAGGAGATACGGCCTGCATTGAGAGACATGTAATTTAGATTTTTATAACAACACAGAAATTGACAAGTCGCCGTTGCAACGCTCTTTCTCCATCCCTGTTTTCCTTTTCCCTCTATTATTTCATCC